TATTGCAATGGCAAAACCTATTATGGGATTAGTCCATTACATTGGTCTCTTCTATATCACATTTACTCCCGTAAAAAGTAACAAACAATAGATGTTTAAGTCCAATATCCTCATCATCTTTTTGCTCATGAAACCTCTATAAATTAATAATGTTGGGACTACACCAAAATTTTATTTTTTAATTAATTTAGAGAAATATTAATTTATTTGATATACTAATCGAACCAAAAACTCAATTTCAGACTAAAAATATATATTATTTTATAGAAATATTTAGTATATATTAATTTATCGAATATAAATTTATAGAGATTTTACGGTATAAGAACATCATTATTGGTGAGTTTCTTTGATTGAGTATCTACACAGCAATATATCAATGTTTTTTTAAAAAGTCAATTCTGTAATTAAATGTTTTTTGGTTCTTAAAGAATGTGTGAACTAGAATATGACATTTGGTTATATAGGGCTTTAAACTTGCATTACTATTGCGACGCTTTTAGTTACCTCTCTCATATTTGAACTTTTTCAATTATATTTTTTTGTCAGAAACTCTCACAAGAACCTACCAATAATGGTGCTCATAGTTTTTAACCTAATTCAGTTTCTGAAAGATTTGATTATTGGTATATTTACTAAAAGCTTCCCAAAAAAGCCGAGATATATCTCCAAAACCAAAATACTCCAAACCAATCGTGTTTCCCATCAAATAAACTTTGATTAATGGGTTTTTCCTAACGGCCCATCAAATAAACTTTGATTATTCATTTAATTTTCCAAATTTGTGTGCATCTCTCAATAACCACCCTAGGATAACTACTTTTACGTATTTATGGAAAAAACAAAACACGTTATATTATCTACTCTGTATGTTAAATATATATTTTTGGTTGTTTTTATATATATTAAAAACTAGGTGATTTCCCCGTGCTCATGTACGGGTATAAATATTTTTAAATTAAATATATAATAATAATTGATTATTATTTACTTTTAATTTTAAATTAATTTATAATTTGTATGCATTATTTATATTAATAGTATTATATTACTTTACTTATACTGTAATTTTATATATGTTATATCTAGTCAATTTTGTTGTTTTACGGTTGGTTTAGTTATCATTTGGATAAATTGGATTGCATCTCTGAATTCAACTGTAATATTTTTAAAATATATTAATTTTTAATTAGTTACTTATTTGCATATGGTGGGTGTTGTCTTAG